CTTGGCGAACGTAGCTCGTCCAGCCCCAGCCGCATGGCACATGCAGATTTGGCGCGCGGCGAGCCGCCGATTTGACATGCGATGCGCTCGGCAGCCACCCATCTTGGCACGAAGTTGTTTGCATAGATTATCAGATTTGGTCCCGAGTGTTTGGCACCACCACAGCACCACAGCCTTGGGCGGCTGCTTCCAGCCCCCCGACCTCTTGGCTGCGAACCGTCTCAAGTTTGTTCAAGTTCCTTTCGAGTCGTAGTTGCGAACTCGACGGGAATGTTCGGGTCCCGGGTTGGGGGTGGTGGACGGAGTGAAGGAGATAACCGGAGAGCACCGACGGACCTAGGGATTCCGGGTTCGTGGGGGGGGGGGGGGGGGGAATAAACTAGCGGGCTGGGAAAGAAGCTAGGAAGGGGGGGAAAGGGCAGGGGAAAAAACCCCCCCCCCCCCCCCTTTTTTTGCCCCCCCCCTTTTTTTTTTTGTGGAAACTCTTCAAATAGAAAACCGGGGGGGGGGGGGGGGGGGGGGGAATGAACTAGGCGGTCTGGTAAGTAGCTACGTAAGGTGAGTAATGGCTAGGTACAATAGCTCCCCCCCCCCCCCCTTTTTGCTGCCTACGCCTGTTTTGCTTGTTGGAAACTGCTACATGGAACACGGGAAGGGGGAACGGGGGAACGGGTGATCCACCGCTGCGACGAAGAAAAAGTGCTTGTCGAAGGCTTGATTTGGGCGATCAAACGCTGCTGCTGCCCTTGTCTTGTCCTCTTCCTCTCTTTTTTTTTCTTCCTATTCTTGTTACAGGTTGTCGTTCCGCCGCGTTGACGGATTTTCCGGCATTCCCTTTCTTTTTCGGAGTTTCTGGGCAAAAGGAAAATGTCACGCTGAAGGTTGAGGGTTGGGCGGGTATTGACCGTTTCGGCCCCCCGAGGCCGGCGCGAGCAGATTTCCGGAGATCAAACATGTCAACTGTTGGTACTGCTGCTCTTACCTTGCGCTAGGCAATCGAACCAATCCATCTGCCTAGAGATTTGTGACCTGAATATGCGTTACGTAGGCATCCAGATATGGTTTGACGTCTGGTATGACGCTATTGACAAGTAGGCTAATTATCCAAGGCCAAACCCGACGAGAGAAAAAGAAAAAAAAAACTGCCAGAAAGTCGAGTTGTAGTCGGCGGCAGGCCACATGAGAGCGTTTCCAAAGGGAACCAAGACCAGCCAAGGAGCGGGAATGGGGCGTGGCACTGGAGAGAGTTTGAGACGCCAACACGTCGAGACAGCCGTCGCCGCAAAGCTTGGCGGTTCGAACGGTAGGAACGGTACGGTACCGTTCCTTCGAAGGGGGCCGCGCCCGGGCGGCTGGACCCCTTTGCTTGGCATGAATTGTCAGATCGTTTCTGTCGTTGGTACTCCGTACCTGGTCGAATACCTGCGCATGGTAAGGCAGGTAGTACTGGAGCCCAAGGTTCTACTGGCATCGTTCCTGATAGGCGGGGCTGTGGCAGCCAAAAGCGTGTGAACCTAGGTAGAGATCACTTAGCCCAAAGGTAAGATCTGGCAGCTCATGTGATTGATTGATTGGTGTGCGTCTGTGATACCCGTTCGTGAGCGTTAGAGATCTGGGAGGTTTAGTTCCGGCCAATCAGAAGAGAAATGGCGGATGCTCGGCATGGTTCTCTACCGCAGTACGATGGGATCACTGAATGCTTCGGTGGCTGAGTCTCGTGCGTGGTTTCCATTCTGCTGTACGGCCTACGATAGGTACGAACACAGCAGACGCAGCGGCAAGAAAAGAGGCTTAGCTGCAGTGCGCTGTTCTCTCTTCGTTCTGTTGGGTCTGCTGCGCAAGTGTGGGAATTGAAGGGCACCCAAATCGCGCCAATGTTTGCTGGTGGAGTTCGTTCGGCACGTTCATGCGGGTACCGGATCCATCTGGCATCTCGATGCCTTTGACCAAAGTGGAGGTTTCTTAGGAGGTTCCCTATCAGATGTGAAGAGAACCTCAAACAGTGACACCTGACGTTTTGGATTTGGGGTGTCATCATGGTGCTTCTGGCTCGCCAGCTTGCAGTGCTGCTTGTGTGGGTATTATTCATGTTGGGCTGTCTTGTTATGTATTCGAGTATAACTACCGGTAGTCTACAGTAGTAAGAAGAAGTGTCTCTCCGGTCCGCGTGAGAAGGTCAGGTCAGCCGGGACGAGCGACGTAGACAATACGCTGGAGATGTCTCGCTAGGGGACGTGGCCTCAGTCGCATGACTACATTTCGTGTGCGACCGACCTTGGGAGTTACAAGACTCTCCTTTCCCAGGCCGTCGTCACCTCTTCCCTTTCCTCCCATGCGACGCAAGCGCCCACGGAGATGCATATCGCAGGTGGGAGCAGCGAAAGTCAAGCGCGACGACGAGCCCAGCTCCGTCCTAGCCACTTTGGCGGCAGCTAACCACCTAACGACCTACCTAGACTCACTCTGGCCCGAACCAAGGGTGCCTCATTCGTGTTGGTACGCAACGAACGCGAACCTCGGAATCCGAATATCGTTGAGGGCGAATCGAATCTGTCATCATGGCGTTCAATGCTGCGGCATATACCGAGTGACGGTCCATCTATGCACCGCGCCCATGGCGAAAAGCTATGGATGGAAATTGGGACGGAGCGCTTTTAGGTGGGTAAGGTTGTAAGGCGCGGTAAGGTAAGGTAATCGCCCACGAGCTGCTCCCTCCAAACAGAATGTGGTCATGGGAACAAATCGGCGTTCAAAGACTTGCAGCATCATCAATGGCGAAAAAAAAAAAAACAGAAGGAGACAGAAAGAGACGGGAGAGAGGACGCATCACCATGCCGCCACCAGGGACACGCATCCAGCCAATCAGGCGGTATCCACCTTTCCCCAAGTTGTGGCTGGGGCGCTGGCGGTGTCGGCTGTGGCCCTGCTGCGCTGCGCTTTGGGTCAGGTCTGCAAGGAACAGTCATCACCTTCAGCCATGCCGGGTCTAAACCGAGTCTTTAGGTACCGTGGAAGAGTGCTATGCAAGCACTGCAAAGTTCCCATTATTGGACACGGGGGCCCCGTAGCCTAGTGGTTAGTTGGGTTCGGGATTACTCGCGGGTACCTCAATCTATCGCGCTCATCGGGCCTTGGCCGATTGTATTTCGTGGCTCCCCGCCCCGCCTGAAAACGTGTCCGTGGTGGTAAGTCGGGGTTCTTTCGCTCATTCGGTCCCAGTGGAGTGCTACCTACTTTACGGCACGCGCAGCTGTCTCGGGGGGGCACTGTCTTGGGATTGGGGAAGAAAAAAAAAAGCTTCGATTCCTCGGCCCCGCAGCTCATCGCTCTCTCCGACTGACCTCAGTACGGCAAAAAAGAAATTGTGTAGGTCCCTAGGTAGACTACACCACGCAGGGCACTTCACTCTGCATACTGGCTGGCAGTGGCAGCTGGGTAAGGGTACCAAAGTACCCATCCGACGACGGAATACCTACAGGCTACACTACACTACGTGCCTATACGTGCCTATGGGAACTAAAATGCTTAGACTGAAAAGTACTGGGCTGATGCGTCGTACCTACCTTACACCTCCACTGTGACTGAGGTGGGACGGGGGGTGGAGAGGAGGGGGAGCCACCAAGCAGCATCGCCCAGCCCGTCACTTTCGATGCAGAGCAGGGATGTCCTCGAACCTGTCACTGGGCCACTTCTCTCTTTCACTGCCTTATTACCGTGCCTTACTCCATACAGCCCTTTTTATCGACACACGTTTCCGCTCTTCTTCTACCGCTGCCGTCTCGGAATTCTTCCATCTCACACACTCACTCTTATCCACCAGTTCGCCTCTCTCTGTCTTTCCCATCAGATCCTCCCCATCATTCGGCTCTCTGAATAGCTTCATTGTTTCACCTACATCTCAAGCAACCAACAACAAGTACACACGTACACAAGATGGCCAGCAACGACTACTACAACCAGGGTGGCAACTACAACAACCAAAACTATGGCCCTCCTCAAGGCGGTTACCCTCAGCACCCCCAAGCTGTAAGCACTCACCCTCGTCTTGTCCTCCCCCATTCCTCACGCCCAGACAATTCTTCTCCGTTGGCGCATTCCAATGCCTCAGCTTGATTACATGCGCCGGGCCTCTCTCTACCTTACTCACAATCACGAATTTGACATGCGAACTACAATCACTAACATCCTCAGGCCTACGGTCCCCCTCAAGGAGGCTACCAGCAGCAGCAGGGCGGCTACTACCCCCAAGGCGGCCCGCCGCCCATGCAGTACCAGCAACAGCCTCCCATGCAGGCGCCCCGGCAGAAGAAGCAGGGCGGCGGAAACTGCTTGACGGCCTGTCTCGCCGCCCTGTGCTGTTGCTGCGTCATTGACGAGACGTGCGAATGCTGCGCAGAATGGTGAGTTGTCTCGCTGTCCTCATCTCAATCCATTATCTATACGGTGACTAACGATATCCCAGTTGCGAGTGCTGCTTCGACGTTTGCTAAATGAATTGAGAAAAAATCTCCTTCACTCACCCACTTTAGCTCATCTCAACAAAATGAGAGCCAGAGCGAGAGATGATGTTTTTTTCTTCTCTCTTTCAATTCACTTGCGGGATTCAGCAAAAAACCTGACATCCTAGGTGTGTCAAAAGTACGGTCTGTGGTTTCCGTTCAAAGAAAGTGGGGAACCCGACGGGATCACGGCGAATACCTAACGTCGAAGAAAAAACTGTAATTGGCTCCCAACAAATTTCCCAAACGACGACGACAGGCAAGAGGAAGGAAAAATTCATGGAAATCAACGGCTCTATTTCCACGCGACCTCTCGCACGGCTCAATCGGCCTCGACTGGCGCAAAGCAAATTCGCAAAAGAACACGAAACCTGAGACGACGAAATGAAGTTGGGATGGTTATAGGGACGAATCGATTGGAGGAAAGCGGAAAACTTTGGGAGGGACGGGGTTCACGATGGTTCAGCGACCTCGTTGATTACTTTTTCCATACGGGCGTTCATGGCGCTGTTCTCTCCACCTACCTGTCAAATCTGGATGAATTATTTGTCGGTGGGCGCATTTTTTATGCGCCGTAATGACTTCCTTTCTGTAGTAGTCTTTATTTCTTTTTTTTTGTGGCAAATCAACACGTATACCTCACTAATATGAGTATTGAAACTTGTGGTCAACGTGACGTGAGATGAAGATATGTACTGAAGCACCAACGTTCAGTCGCCATTATCGTCCATGGGCTTGTGTGCACATAACCTATATCTACGTTTACTGAGCGTCGAACGGTTATGGCGGAATCACAGAATGCTGCAAGCTTCTCGTCAATCAAAGTCAGGACAATAAGACCGATGTTTTTATTCCTCTCAAACGCAACTAAGCGCCTCACAACTCAAGACTGTTCTTGGTTGGGAGGCCCAGGGCGTGATTCGTCGCTGGCCGTCATGGAGACTTTTTCTAAACCGCTACCAATGAATTCATCCCTAGTTGTCCAGCTGGACATAGTTGGCAGGGAAGAGGCCCTGCTTGCCACCGTAGGAACCGAACCACCAATCCTCATCAGGGAACTCGAGGTCCTTGATCGTTGCATTCTCGGGGAACGAAAGTTCTACAGACTAAGAGTCAGCGTTGATACATCAAAAGGATAGGGAATGCGCTTTTCTTACCATTATCCTCAGCAGCCTCGTAGTCGAATTGCGCGGTGGCTGTTCGGCCGCCAGCGGCAGCTGCCGGTTCCGGCTCCGCTTGAGCCGGTGCGGGAGGAGGGGCGCTTCGTGCCGCCGCCGCCGGTTCAGGCTCATCCTCGACAAGCTCGACGTAGTTGCTGGGGAACAAGCCGCTCTCGCCGCGGGAGTTAGTTCCCATCCACCAGTCCTCGTCCACCATCTCGATGTTTGTGACATATTCGCCCTCGCGAAGCTCAAGCTCGTTGTCTTCCGCCTTCTCGTAGTCGTATTGAATCACAGCGCGTTTACCGCCGGTGTCCGTTTGGCCCGCCGCTACCTGCTCCTGACCAAACGATTGCTCTGCAACAGCTGCGGCAGCGCCACGGCCGGCATCGTTGTCTTCTGGAAGGTCCTCCTCCCTGGGTAGCTCTTGCTGAGTAGGGATAGGGCGGGGAGGTTCCCTCTCCTCGGGCGCCTCCATCTCGACCTGGGGTCCGCGAGATACGGGTTGCGCAACTCTGATGGGAGACTGGGGCTCCTCCTCCTCCTCTTCCTCTTCAGGGGCTGGCCTAGAAGGCAGGCCGGGTAGAGCGAACCCACCGGCCGGGGGAGGCCGGGAACCGCTAGGCGGGGGAGGAGGAGACGGCTCATCGTATTCTTGCTGCTGGAGCTGCTGCTGCTGCTGAGGCTGCGACTCGCGGGGAATAGGCGGGGCTCCGCCGGTGAAGCGCTCCTTGAGGGCACCAATGCCGCCACTAGGAGAAGCGGGCGTCTCGACACTTCGCTGGGCATCCTCGCCAGTGTTCTCCTGGCTGATGGAGCCCTTGCCGTACTCGGGCATCTTGACGGGTCCCCAAGACTTGCCAGAGTAGCCGCTCTTCCACTCGCCGGTCGATTGAACGCCAATCGGAGAAGTGACCGGGGGCGAGACAACGTTGGATACGGATCCGCCCTGCTTTCCCTTCTTCTCGGCCCAGAGCTGAGCTGGCGTCTTGCCACCTTGGTCGGCAAATGTGCGGCTTGCGGCACCCACTGGTGGGGGCGCCGGAGCGGAGGGTGCGCCGAATCCAAGACCACCGGGCGCGGGGGCCTTGGTGCCGGTGAAAGCTGCCGCACCGCCAAACTTGTTGGCTACCTTGGGCTTCGGCAGTGACGTCAAGCGTTCTGACTGGTTGAATGCGGCACTTCGCTCGGCCAGCGACTTAGGGCGCTCGTCTTCCTCGGGCTCCTGTGCCGCAGCCTCTGAGGGCTTCTGTGCCTTGGCGCGAATAGCTGCAATGTCGACCTTGCCGATGGGTTCGTACGCACCCTTGACCGGGGCAGGCCTGTCGTCCTGCTGGTTTTTCGCTGCGGCGCGAATCGCAGCAATATCCACCTTTCCAACGGGTTGGTATGCGCCCTTCACGACATCAGGCCTGTCTTGGGAGCCGTTTCCGTTGAAGCCGGAGGGTTCTTGCCGTTGCTTTGTGAGCTCTGCCATGTTGACCTTGGTGGGCTTGTACGCAGATTCGACCTTCTCCAGCTGGGACCGAGTCACCTGAGGCGCATCGTCTCCCCAGCCATCCTCGTCGACACCTGCGGGCTTGCGGTTTCGCGCGGCGACGATGGGGTTGACGCCGCTTGATGATGTGGTGGGTGTGAAGACGGGCTTAGAGGCAACCGGAGGTGGGGCAGCGGAAGACGTGGAACCGCCTGCTGAGTACTTGGCACCGGAGGCATCGGCAATCTTGCGCATGACGCTCTCTGGCTCGAGGTCGCTGTCTGAACGAGCGGTGATCTGGACGTGGTAGCCGTGGAGGATCTTGGAAACGGCGGCGGTATGGGTGGTGAAGTAGCCCTTGGTCCTCTCGGGGACACCGCCTCCGCACCAAGCAATTAGGGCGTGCTTGGGGAGGCCAGAGTTGGGATCCTTGACCTTGACAAAAGCGAACTGGATGCGGCCCTCGTTGAAGTCTTCGATGAGCTCCGAGAGCTCGCCATCTACGTGGGAAAGGACACATGTCAGCGCATTGTCTTCCCCCGAGCGAGGTCGGGAGCTCGGGCGAAAGAGCGGGGGAACTTACCACCAGTGCTCTGGACCTTCAGCACACTCTCCTTGTTGCCGCTGTCTTGGAAAGCATTGGCCAAAGGAGCCTGAACTGAGAACAAGGCCCATTGAGCGTATGTCGGGGAGCTCGAGTTTGGGGGCGGGCCGTTGATGACTCCCTGGTAGCTGCTCTTGATCGAGGGTCCGTTGATGGACAGATTGAGTGACGCCATTGCGAGTTTGGGCAGTAAGCTCGACTAGCAGTGGTCGTCGATCGTTGAGTCGTCAGTAGATGAGGGGGATTGGTGAGGGGGGAAAGAGGTATAATAGTAGGGTGGAAGATGTTTAATCGTAAAGGTCTCCGTCGGAGAGTCGCCTATGTCTGACGGGCAAGAAGCTGACGTAGCAAACCAGCCCTCTCTTCTATTGCAGAAAGTCGTGGACAGCCGAGAGTTGGAGAGGCGCAGCACAGGTGGAACTAGAACTTGGAGGTGAAGCACGGTCCCGCCAGCATCCAATACGCGGACGGTCGGTTACGCAGCTCAGCGTTGTTCAGCGCTGGCCAGGTGTCGAGGCGGGGCAGGCTGGGCAGCTACCTAAAGTGACTGACTGGCAGTAACTAGGAGCCTGGGAGGGGGACGGGGGGAGGGGAGGAACAGGGTGGGCCAGAGAAGGCGGCGTACGAAGTAGTATAGGACACACTGTGCTCCGAAGGTGCCTGCCGCTTTCGCTCTCCGCTTCGGGCCTCTGCGCTGCTCTAGTGGGGCAGCTTGGGCATGCCCCCGTGTGGTCCCCGCCGAGTGGGATTCTTCACATATGTAATTATGCCATGTAAATATCGCGACAGATGACGCAACTCGAGACTTTCTCCCCTACAGTCATCAACCCATGCAACAACCCCATCTCCTGCCCGCGGAGATCGCTATACCCGATACTATCGCAGCCACCCCGAAAAATCACGACTTGCCCCTCCAAACAATACCCCTCCACCCGACGTATCGGAGACCCGTGGTTTATCAGCCGTTGGACTTGTCATTCCGCGATTCAACGTCCGACCAAGCCCGTCCTTCCTCTGGAGTGCGTTCCACAAGACTCTACGACTCCACGCGATTCCCTCTTGCGGCCACTTCTATCCGATTGACCCCGAATAGACCCTTAACGCATCACCTTCAACAACCGACCATCCCAAGAATTCGCGATTCGCCAAAAAAGCACAATGTCGACGATCACGGAGATCACCAGTCTTGCCGACTGGGAGAAGCACATTGCCTCCACCCCGCCTTCCACCCTCCACATCATCTCCTTCCACGCGCCATGGGCCGCCCCATGCGCCCAGATGGCTACCGTCCTCTCGACCCTTGCCTCCGAATACCCCGTCACCAGCCCCCCGCAGACATCCTGGGTTTCCATAAACGCCGAAGAGCTCAGCGACATTAGCGAGACATACAACGTCACCGCCGTCCCCTTCCTCGTTCTCCTGCGCAACGGTCAAGTCCTCGAGACCGTCAGCGGCAGCAGCGCTGTCAAGGTCCGCAACGCGATCGAGACACACGCAAAGAAGCCCGCCGGCGCCGCTGCCACGGTAAACGGCAACCAGGGCGTCGAGAATGGTCCCAGCGCGATGCAAGTCGACGAGCCCGTCGACCCGGCCAAGGCCAAGGAGGAGTTGTTCAAGCGCCTGGCGGACCTTGTCAAGGCGGCGCCAGTCATGCTCTTCATGAAGGGCACCCCCAGCTCGCCTCAGTGCGGCTTCTCAAGACAGCTTGTGGCCATCTTGAGAGAGCACTCGGTCAAGTACGGCTTCTTCAACATCTTGGCAGATGATGAGGTACGACAGGGCCTGAAGGAGTATGCCGAGTGGCCGACCTACCCTCAGCTCTGGGTTGATGGTGAGCTGGTTGGTGGTCTTGATATCGTAAGTGGAAAAGTCTCAGCGCCGTTGCTGACTCACAATTACTAACGTTATCCCTTTCCTAGGTCAAGGAAGAACTCTCCAACGACCCCGAATTCTTCGGCCCTTACAGCATCAAGGCCAGTGCTGAGGCCGCTGCGTAATCCGCCTAGTCATCAACAATATCCTGCATATTCACGCCTGCCCGGTCCTCACCGTGTAAGACGTGACGATTCTCGTAGTCTTTACATACCCACTCACGTTTGATTTACATCCTCGCCTGGCCACTCGAATTCCAAATCGTATCTGGCTTTTAGATCGGGCGACGATATAGCCCTTGGTGTGATCAAGTCATTCGCCAGTCAGTCAGCCATCGTTTAAAGGTCTTCAAGGTTGTCCCCGATCTGAGAAATATGACTGGGAAGAGACACTTGGAAAACTGATTGAAAGATATCTTTGATTCAGGATGCTGCGATTCCGGGCTCAGAGATTCGGCATGGCCAGAGTAATCATCGTTTGCAAGACACAGGCCCGGCACACAAAAGTTGACGCATTTCAAGGCATGAGAACATGAGATACGGAGGCGATCTCAAACGGAGCGGATACTTTCAGGTACCTTAGTTAGGGCTCGTTCGACTTACGCTATCGTCAATGACAATGAAATCATTCAAGTTAGACGGCACAACTCTGTGTGATGCACCCCTTGAATACAGCGCTTCATAATTCCTGTGTTGGGACCTTGTTTATTCTTATTTGAGGTTCGATTTTCAGAGAGAATGATCAGCGGGGCGCCACTCCTCACCCAGAACATGATACACTACAGAACGAGTCTATTGTGATGAAAAGCATCGTCTTACTTCCTAGCCAAATATTGAGGTAGGGCTCAATCACGGTGGTGGTATGGTCGTCGACGTATCAAACTCCCATCGCTCCCATAGATACGCTCAAGAAAGAGCCATTGCAGCATTGCACTCTACCTTACCTATCTTCATTCCCGTGCTGGGCAACGGTATCATATGAGACTAGGCACCTTGATGGCCGTGGATGATTCATCTCCAGTAGATTTCCGCAGCGGTCCTTCCTCGCCTACCTTGTTTACCTTGAGATCAGATGGAATACAGGTGAGGAAGCCTTTATACCCTCCCTCAAATCCATTCCTGTCACCAGCCAGGAGGCGCCCGTCTAGGTCGATGGGTCAGGTCAAACTGGCTGGGTGGTGGAGTGGTTAATGGTCAACATCAATTATCTACGCCAACCAGCCTACTCGACGACAGGCTTAGCGCATACGAGTACCCGAGTTCGAATCCCAGCATGAGCACCAAGAGATGTAGCCCCCAGTTCAGCACCGGGGGGGTGAACTCTTTTTGGTTCATGTAGTTTACATACTTTTGATTTATTCCTCTTGGGTAGAAAGGAAAGGTATATAGCGGCGTGCTCACACGAGGGTCAAGTATTAAACTATAAGCTATGAACGTCTACTTATGTAATCTTCTCAGAAGAGATATTGACGATTCACCCAGAGCACGGTCACCACCAAAATCGTCTGGAGAGCACGCCGTAGAATCTTTATTTCTCCAGCACTGCGTGAATGAAAGGTGAGGTGGCGGTGACATGTTACCCAATCACACTGCTGACCTGGCCCCTTTCCGTCCCATTAGAGAAATGATTTTGCTTCATCATTGTGCGGTCATCCAGCACCTTGAACATATCTAGTGGTGTATTATACAAGCAACAGAATGAATATATATTCTTCTAAACTAAATCGTTTTGGCATGACCGTGAGCTCAACTCGAGGAGGATCGGACCACACTGGCTGAACCCTACACTTAACTAACTCCTGAAATCGTCAAAAGCTACATCGTTCAAAGTCCAAAATGAGATGTTTCGAAACTCGGTTTACTCATTTTGTCTACATGTAACCTCATATCCTCCCTCTTTGATAGTACCATCATTGAAGGTGCGAAAAAAATGAGTTCACACACTAGTCAACACCCAAACCCACCCTCCTCGCCCCGTCCCCCGTTCCTATAATCGCTGTCCCCTCGTCTCCTACATAACAACAACCAAAAGCGCAGTCACAGCACCCAAAACAGCAGCAGCATACCCGCCCCCCTGCGTCGTCCTACACCCCGCGTTAGGAACCGTAAGCAAAGCAGGAGACGTCGCCACCGCAAAGGACCCGCCACTCGGCGCCGCGAAACCGGCCGCCGTCTCGAGGATCATGGACGTCCAGAGGGACGACGGCAACGTTATGCTGGGTCCGATCTGGACGACGGGCGTGGCGCCGATGCCGACGCCAAGCTGCGGTTGGGGCGTAGGCACGATGGCTGCCGTGGACGAGACGGACGTGCTGGGTTGCCCGACTCCCGTGTTGCTGCCACTGATACTGCTGCTACCGCTGCCGGAGCCGGAGCCGGAGCCGGAGCCGGACTCACTATCGGATTCGGTGTCGGAGTCTTGGCCTGACCCCTTTCCTGAACCACTGCCGGAACCACCGCTTTCGTCCCCGCTCTTGTCGCCCCCCTTTTCGCTTTCCTTGCCGCCACCGGCTGTGGTACTAGGCACAGGCGTCACCGAAACCCCGCTAGCCGTATCGGTAGGGCCACCGGTAGTCGACGCAGGGACGTCGGACTTGACCGCGCCGCCGTCCGCAGGCAGAGTCCCCTTGTAAGGCAACGCGCCGCTCGAACTGGCGGCAGACGGCGCCGCCGCCGCCGGGTTAGAAGTCTGGGGCTCAGGCTTCGTCACAGCCGTGCCTGTACCGTCGCTCGGCGGGTTCGAAGGCGCCGACGGGGCAGCGATGGGCACGGGAGCCACGGCGGCGGGCTCGGTGACGGGGAGGGCGGGCAGGCCTGTAGGGGTGGCGCTGCTGTTTGATGCTGGGTTCGCGGCGCTCGGGAGGACGGGAGGCGCGTTTGTGGCCGGGGGCGAGGTGGGGATGGTGCTGTTCTTAGGAACTGGGAGAGTTACGATCGGTAGGGAGGGCGTGGTTGGCGCTTCCGGCGTGATGCTGGTGCGGTTTGCCGGGACTTCTATTGCTGGTTGAGTGGCGGCGGGCGCTTTGCTCTTGGCCGGCTGCTGGATCTGCTGTTAGTGTTTGCTAGACTAGGGGAAAGAAGCCAGGGGGAACTCACCTCGGCGCTCGGAGCTGTTTGGTTGTTCGTGGGCGCGAGGGTCGGGAACTTCGAGAGTGTATCGGGCAACGTGGAGTAGATAGGGGTAGGAGTGACCTCGGCGTTCGCGGGCGCCGTCTGGTTCTTGGTGACCGAGAGACTTGGGAATGCCGGGCCCGAGTCCGGGATTGTGGAGTATATCGGCGTGGGCGTGACCTCAGCGCCACGTCCTGGGACTCCTGTCTGGTTCTTGGTCGCTGATAATGTCGGGAACGACGCGGGCGCGGAGGGGGCGGACTGGATGGTCGAATATATCGGCGTAGGTGTCTGGTTCTTCTCGGCGATGCTCGTGAGCGGTTTGGAAGAGTTGCGAGGTACGGCATCCTCGTTGGGGGTCGCGGGCTGCTTCTTGGATTTGCCGGTTCTCTGTCTAGAAGGAGAGGCTCCAGGCGCAGTGCCGTTCGAGATAGTATTCCTAGACTCCTCAGGCTGGACGAGAGCGGGCTCCGTGGGGGCAGCTTCCGCTTCAGCGACGCCGGCGGGGATAGCCTCAGCGGGCAACGCGCCAGAGTACACAACCTTGGGGGGCCCAGCAGCCGCGGTGAGGATCTCCACCTGCGCCGGGTCCGCCCCGAGAATCGTCTGGACGACGGGCTGCTGCGTGAGCTGGGTGATCTTGAACGGTTCGGAGACGACGACGGCCTGAGCAGAATCCGTAATGACGATGGCGAAGCTCTCAAAGGCTGTGATGGAGGCGCTGGGGTTCCAGTTCAGACGGCCGACGTTGTCGACTTGCACTGCATGACATTTTTGGTTAACAGATCAAGATTCCACTTGATGTTCAAATTGGCTTGGAGAAATTCACCTGCAATCTTCTCCGCAATGACTGACAAGTCCGTCTTGCCACTGGGAACCAGGTCAACGTTGATGGGGGCCTGTAAGCCCGCCGTCTGCCACTCAACCTCAAATTGCTGGTTCGGCATCAACACATCCCCGGCTCTCGGCTTCGAGATCTGCGCATTGCATACCGACACAGCAACCGCGCAAACCCAAAGCCTCAATGACGTGGTAAACCGCATCTTATTTCCTTGTTGTTTCCTCAATATGTTTTGCGTCGAGTATAAAGATCGTACCGAGTTCCACCCGAGATAAGCAACCACGTATTGAGAATCGTTAATTTTTTTTTGATTAGAGAGAAAAAAGTCGGCCAACTTGGGCTCGGGTATCGAAAAAAGTCGAAGGGGCGGGCGTGTGTAAAACGAACGGAATGCTTGAAGTGAAGCTGACCTGCAGGATAGGTTTGAAAAAAAAGAAGGGCGTTCAAAGAAGAAGTGAACAACAGTTAGCAGACAGAATCGAAGAAAAGCAACTCGAAAACAGCGCAACAAGAAGTGAATAGAGAAACGAAGATCAAGTGTAAGAAGCAGAAGAGAAGGGGAAGCAAAAGAAGGGGGAGCCACTTCGAGATCCTCACCTCCCGGGAAGAGTTTTGATGGGATGGATCTTTCTCTCTCTCGCAGCGGCGCGTGTAAGTCCAATAACTCCTTGGACAGGGGGCCTCGTGGACAAACCGCACCATTTCCCTAGAACGTCATCCTAAGCTTAAGGAGAAAAAGGCTGGGCAGGGGGGGTTTTCGACCATGGTCCACGTCTCATCGGCCGAGACTCGGTACGGCGACGGGGGAGAGGGCGGGACCACAAAGTTGAAAACCCCCTGGTCCCATTCGGTGAAGTGGACTTTGGCCAAGAACTACAATGGCTGCCCAGATGGCACAAGAAACATTTGCGAGAGCGACACTCAGCCACTTGGTAAGGACCTCGGCGGTAAAAGCGTGGTGGAAGGAGGGGCGGCGATGGCGGGACGGCGGGAGAGGATCTCGTAAGTGGTCAAGGGTGGTTTCGCGATCCTGGGCTTTGCTTCATCTTTTTGCCGATTTCCAGCTGGGCATCTCTCTTTTGTTTTTCCACTAGCCGCTTGCTAGAGTGTGGCGCATTACGCAGAGATTAAAGCATAGACCCCGTGGTTCGACAATCAACACAATGTAAATCAAGCTCGTCGATTTTCTTCATAGCTCCTGAGGAAGCTTTCGTCTTAACGATGGACAGTTAAGCTCGCGTGAAGGAAGGGGAAGGGTACAGGGGGCAAGCCCAGCAAAACTTCAGACAACACCTCCCTACTATGCCCCATATCGAGCCAGTAAACCCAAGCCATGGGCAGCAAAGCACCTTGTTGCGTGTTTTTTCGTCCAATCTCCCATTAGTGATGAGCAGCCGGGAAAAAACAAGGGCTAATTCATTCGAACCTTCGAGGGAAGAGGGAGGTTGAAAAAGTCGGGATGACATGGGAAGGGGGGGGGGCTTCGTGTAAAGCCTGCGGCTGAGACGTCTGTACCTAGCGCCGATCAAACCTAAAACCTCCCGCCCGGTGCGACGCGGAGACGGTGGGGCCGTGTTAGCGGCCTTGCCTTCTCTCCCCGCTTACTCCCTAACAGGAGTGCACTGGTCACGGCCCCTGTCAACGTAATCCGGGCTCGCTGTGGGATGAACCGCCATGTATCACCATTCTTTCTCCGTGTTTGACGCTGTTCAGCCTGTGGATTCCAAGAGCAAAAGGCAAGAGGTCTTGACCATTGGCCCCTCACCTGCAATACTGGTACACGGTCAAGAGTCTGGTCACACCATTGAGTCCAACCAATTATCTCCTACCTTGGGATGATAGCGCCCTGTTGTTTCCGCAAGCATATATCCCAGCTCCTTAAGGATACTCTCAAAGCCTTCAGCAATGTGTATTCATTCTCGTCATTCAGCCCATCACTCAATGCCGGGTTGCAGTGATCTTGGTAGTGGCAATGCTCGTTGAAGTAAATTTCTAGTTCGGTATTGTAGATCTTGAACCATGTGAATATCCAACGCCGCTGGGGTTTTTCGCGTGGAAAAATCATACAATTCATTACGTGACGAAGTCAATAGACCTCGCAATTTACTTAATATTTACCCAATGCTCTCTCCTGCGGCCTGTTCACTACACGCCTCACATGTAACACCTTACGGCACTGGGCTCACACGTAGTAACCCATGACCACACATCATCGTAGCAAGTACGGATAGAGCATGAAGCCTGAACTAGACTGAATTCATTCCATTCTTTAACCATCCGTGTGGATTGTAATACCATACATGCCTTAGGCCCTGTCGTCTCCAATTCAAAAACAAAACTAAAAAGTGGCCCCAACCAGCCTGACTGAGCCACCTTGCCGCATTAAACATACACTGCCCTCATTTCGAGTCACCAGTCTCTCACTAATACTTGGTATCCCAATCGAAATGCGGGTCGATAGGCCCCTAAGCCCCGCCCTCAGACTGGTTCCCAGGTGTGTTGGTGTTCGACACACCGTGGAAGGCATCGCCAAACGCAGAGTCCTCCATCTCCATGTTCATATCCAGACCATCGCCCATAGACCCGCCGTAGCCAGCCATGGCGTCACCGGCCGAGTCCAGGTCACCCAGCGAGCTGAAGCCGCCGGGCGTTTGAGTATCTGCTGGCGTTCCGGCAGCAGACGGGGGCTTGACAGCAGGCTTGGCAGCGTCGCCCTCAGTTGCAGTGGCGGTGGTGGCGGCGGCTCCGGCGGAGGGGTCGGGCGTTGCGCCTCCCTTAGGCACGACGACCCATTCACCGCTGCCGGTTCCTTGATCAGGCGCGGTGGCAGAGGCATCTTTGGAGGACTCTGTGTTGCCCATTGTGACATCCTCGCCCGTGGCAGCAGGAGCGCCAGTGGAAGTCTGCGCCTCGGTCTCCTCCTGAATAGTAGGAGGGACCGGTGCGGGCGACTGCACATTTGCGTTGGCTGGCGTACCTGCGTTTGAGTTCAACGCGGACATGTGTGTTTGCGGTGTAGGGAAGTTGTTCAGAGGAGTCGAGTTGGCAGAGAACCCAGTGTGCATCTCGTCGAGTAGTCCTGCTGCCGTGCCTCCCATATCAATATCCGAATCGCCTACCATCACGCCACTGTGGTTAGAACCAGCCTGAGACGGCCGCCGTGATCCCGAGGCATTCGCATCTACACCAGCTGCCGGGGCGGGAGGTGAGCTCGCCGGCGGCGGGACTGGTGAAGGCTCCTTAACAGGTTCAGGGGCGGGTTCCTGGAAACCGCCATCTTGTATGCGGTGCACATTGTGGAGGACCTCGATGTGCCGCCCCAGGTTGGCCTCAACCTGAGCCACAATCTCGTCCACCTTCTTGTTGTGCTTCTGTGACCACGGGCCGGAGTTATCATCCGCATCGGCAGAGTAACCCTCCAGACGCCACGGCTCTGGTCCACGCTCCTGAACGGACTTTTTCACATCCTTCTCCGCATCAACGAATACCGAGCTCGCCTTGAGGCTTGCCAGGTTCTTTGCATGCTCCGCCTTCATCTTCTCCATCTCAGCCTTGGTGGCATCGAGGTGCTCCTGCACCCGTTTTCTGAACTCATCAGCCAGGCCAGGCTCTAGCCGTCCAATGTAAGGCTTCTGGGGCGGCTCAGTGAGTGCGTTTGCGCTCTGCGCAGAGAAGATGCCATCAGTCAAAGGTGCCAGCTCTCCCTTGAGGCCTAGTCCGAGATCAGGGGGCGCAATCTGACTGAGGCCGTAGGGCGAAGACACAATCTCCTCCATCCACTCATGGTTTTGTTGGTACCGTGCGAAGGAAATGTCTCTAGGGGTGAGATGATCAAAGAGATCCTTCTCGAGTTCTTCGTCGTCATGGAGAGCCTCGGCGTGAGCCAAGGCTTGTTGTTGCTGCTGGGCTTGCGCCTGAGCCTGTGCTTGTTGGCGGCCACGACGTCCCTGGGGACCCGCCGGGGGATAGGCCATCTGCTGCGGTACGCGCCGCGACTGCGCCGGCGGGTTGTACATCTGAGGCCGTCCGCCATTACGCGGGAACTGGATCGAGGGCCAACTCGCGCGATCCGAAAGCATGAAGTCCTTTCGTGCGATCTGACCACACTTCTGGAGGTGGTTGCGAGTCCCCATGATGTGCTGGGTCTCTTGTGACACGGGGATCAGGTTGACAGGGACGCGGTCGGAGGGGTCGGAAGGGCCGTAGTGAACGATCCAGAGACTGATGTCTGGCTGGGGCGCGTTCATTACTCCGGTCTGCGAGGGTACGAGGCGGAATCTGCGACGAGCGTGCATGGCGACCTGTTCGCCAGGAATGAATGCCGACTTGACGAAGTGGATTTCGAGAGACTAATGATAAAGTCAGATTATTCCTTCAATAACGCGACAGGATGCCTACCAATCCATTTCCAACGTCCTGTCTATGGTACTGCTCGGGTCCACAGATCATGCCGTCGCTAGCGAAGTTGGTTCCGAGCCTCTTGAGAGGTTGCCATGTAAGATAGACCTGGCCGTCGCGGGGTCGATCGAGGTAGGTCCAGAAGAAGGGAGCTTTGTCTTTCGCGACTTGGGGCGCCGCCATTAACCACTTCGTTACTTGGTTCAGGTCGACGCGTGCCTGGTCGGCATAGTGGTTGGCGGAGATGAGATGAGCATGGCTCAGCTGGAAGATGGTTAGCGATGAGTTGATATTTTTTTTCGATACCAAATATAATGCTGGCTACGGTGACCTACCAGCTCCTGATCGATACCATCACTTGGGTCTTGCGCCATGGTGGATCGCGACGTGGGATTTATGATGCGATGGGGTTGGGGCGGATGCTGATGCACAGCTTTTGTCGCGCAGAACAAGCGATTGTCTCCTCAGGCCGTGATTATCTGTGAGGAGGGCAATCGACAAAGACGTGGGAAGGATTGAGATGGCGCGACAATTGGGGAAGCTACTGTTGGTTGATGGATTGATTGACTTGCAGCTTGGTTCGCGGTCCCCAAATTTGTCGCGACGAGGCTGCGGCACCACGAGTGACCCTTGTAGACAGTTGGCCAATCATAGAGGTACCGGTCAGGGTCCGTGCATGTGGGTACAATTTCTCGGGTACCGTGAGTCCAGCCTCCGAACACACTGTGCCAGCAGCTCCGTGTTCGCTGTTAGTCCCGACCTTGAGCCGGCTCTTCGCCGGTAAAGGAGGGGTCAAGTTTTCGTCAGATTCCTTTCGCATCGCAAGATCTTTCTACATAGAAGAAAAGTGATGTGGAAGGATGTGGAGTATAGTCAAGGTACAACACGTTGTCACACATGCTTACTCATGAGACTTGCATCATGACACACTGTGTGACTGTGTGTGTTTTAACTTTTTTCTAGATAGTCGTCCGCCTTTGGTCATAGCTAAGACGAGCTTCTGCTCAGCAGCTTCACCTCATAAATTCGGCATGGCGCACGTTGGAAGGATTCGGAATGAGAAAGTGGTGGAACTTTTTGTTTCAATTACGTGTAATCATTTCATTTCATTCTCCTGGCATCCTTATACCAGTTCTTATAGTGAGCCCTCTATTTAACCTATCCAGAAAACCATTAAGCGTTGTATGTAGAAGCAGAGACGTTACCTCCGCGGCCGGTCCAGTTGACGTGGTGGTACTGGCCAGCGGGGTACTTGTCGTTAGCTGACTCGGGCTTGACGAGGAAGGTGTGGGCACCTGCAGAAACAGTATGATTAGCAAAAATGTCAAAGGACTTCGTGGTATCAAGAAGCTTACCGAAGTAGTCGCGCTGAGCCTGGAGGAGGTTGGCGGGGAGATCCTTGGTACGGTAACCGTCGAACCAAGACAGAGCGGTGGAGAAGGCCGGGGTCGGGATACCGAGGAGGGCGGCCTTGGCGACGACGTCTCTCCAGCCGGGCTGAGCAGTGTGGATGGCCTTGTTGAAGAAGTCGTCGAAGAGAAGGTTCTCGAGGTCGGGGTTGCTGCGGAAAGCGTTGGTGATGTCCTTGAGGAAGACGGAGCGGATAATGCAGCCACCACGCCACATGAGGGCGATGGAGGGCTTGTTAAGCTTCCAGCCGTACTCCTTGGCGGCCTCGTTCATCAATTGGAAACCCTGAGCGTAGGAGACGATCTTGGAGGCGTACAGAGCCTGCTCGAGGTCGTCGATGAACTGCTCCTTGTTGCCCTCGAACTTGTTGGTGCGACCAACGTACTGGAGCTTGCTGGAAGCCTTAACGCGCTCCTCCTTGATGGAGGACAGGCAGCGGGCAAGGACAGCCTCGGCGATGAGGGTGACGGGCATACCGAGGTCAAGGGCGTTGATAGCGGTCCACTTGCCGGTACCCTTCTGACCAGCCTGGTCGAGGATCTTCTCGACGAGGGGAGTTCCATCGTCATCGTTGTAGTAGAGAATGTCACGGGTGATCTCGATCAGGAAAGAGTCCAAGACGCCCTTGTTCCACTTGGCGAAGACATCGCCAATCTCCTTGCAGGAGAGGCCGAGACCGCGCTTCAGGATATCGTAGGCCTGGATGTGGTGTTAGCTACCAGCATATAGCTACGAGGAGCTCGGGTGGGGTTGCATACCTCGCAGATAAGCTGCATGTCACCGTACTCAATACCGTTGTGGACCATCTTGACGTAGTGACCGGCACCCTCATCACCGACCCAGTCACAGCAGGGCTCGTTGTCGCTCTTAGCGGAGATGCTCTGGAAAAGGTCCTTGATGTGGGGCCAGGCCTCCTCGTTACCACCGGGCATCATGGAGGGACCGTAGCGGGCACCCTCCTCACCACCAGAGACACCGGAGCCGACGAAGCGGATGCCCTTGGAAGCGCAGTACTTGGTGCGGCGGTTGGAGTCGGGGAAGTGAGAGTTACCACCGTCAATGATGATGTCACCCTTCTCAAGGAGGGGGATGAGGGTGTCAATGTAGTCATCGACGGCCTTACCGGCCTGGACGAGAAGCATGACTCGCTTGGGGCTCTTAAGTTTTGAAACGAACTCCTCCAGAGAGTGAGCGCCCACGATGGACTTGCCCTTGGCCTCGTTGGCCAAGAATCGGTCGACCTTGGAGACGGTACGGTTGAAGGCGGCAACGGTGAAACCGTGGTCTAGAAAAGGATATTAGCCACCTGAATATGGGTATGGGATGTGATTATCGGAATTACCGGCGGCGTTGAGGATAATGCTATGAGAGAGTTAGTGATTCAATTCTTACACATGGAAATCTGGTAGAACTTACTTTTGACCCATAACGGCCAGGCCGATGAGGCCCATATCAGCGCTGTGACGATGGTCAGCTTGAGTATTCACTAGCCGGACGTTGCTTATTCAGGTGTGAGGAGAAGGAGAGCGGAGCGGGACCTCGGAGCAGGCACAACGCCTGCCACAAGGTTGGCAAGACGAGCGCTGCATTACGAGCATGAGTATGTTATTGCGTCGAGAAAGGAGAGGGCGATGACTTGAGGCCAATGTTACATGTGCATTGGCACCTCCCGAGACCGCACCGGCACCGAAGCCATCACGACGGACGTCGACATGCGGGAAATTCGCAGCCGTGGTCATTGTCGTGAGGCATCGGAGGTCGGGAGCGGGGTGGTGGGGTAATTTTTCTTTTGGCTTGAGAGCGAAGAGGGGTTTAGAAGGCAGAGCGAGGTATTACTTACACAGGTCCAGACATGATGAATGATGTGTCGGTGGTTTAGGTGGGGGGTGTTGTATGATGGAGGAGAGGTTCAAACGCGCGAATCTTTGATGATATGCGGGAGCGTCGAGTTATTTATCTCTAGGGAATGTGTCAAGAAGGAGACGAGAAGCTGGAGCTTTCGTCAACCCGGACGAAGTTTGTAGGGGGAGGGTCGACGGAGGGGTAGGAGGGGAGGGGGGGTGGTTTGTCTTAGTGCAGGGGCCACCCATGACAAGCGCAGATGTGCACACTCCCACTCCTCCAAGTTCCCAATGGAAGTCGACAAGTACCTCCCGGTGCTTTCTCAGCTTGGCCTTCTACCTACTGCGGTACGGATACAACTTTTTCTCTCTCTTCCATCGCTTCCCATTCTTTCTTTGGGGGTGGGATATATCTCAAAGACTGGGCAGAAAAGCGGGACTAGACGGCTTGTTCGACCATCGACAGGGCTGCTTTGCTGCTTTGACTTGGCTGGTCAGTGGCCGCCCCTCCTGGACTCTCCTGGACTAACTCGAGATGATTGGCTTTTTCCTGTTGGCGGGACGAGCTTACTCATGGACAAAGAGGTACATGCGCAGAATGTAGGTACCTTACTCTGCCTTGCGCTGCTTGTATTTTCCATGCTTTGGCAATCCAATCCCACTTTCACTTCCAGCACTTCCGTACGGATTACGGAGTATGTACACGCATACAGAAAGAAGAGGGACACATACATCACCGCTCAGGACGTGGAGCTCCATTGAGAGGACCAGACCCTCCTCCAGCCAGCTCCAATTGGACGGCCTGTCAAGGAGGGGCACTTATGACGATGCTCTCTTCTGTCACCTCGCCTTTCCCGCGTTTCTCTGCCATCCGCCATTCTTGTTGTTGAGCAAATAAGCCAGAAGCCTTTTTCACTCGTTTGGCTGTGTCTGGCAAAGCAGATTGACACCAAACACCACCTACGCCAACCGGGTATACTTATGCTCTCAGAGAGCATGAAATGTACCCGACCTTCTCTCCACTGCGACTCCGATGTACCACGGTTACCGCATTGTGCAAGAGAACCGGCCCGCACGGCGGAGGGCGGCCCAGCAACGACCATCATGCCTGCTCCACGCCGGTGGTGTTTTAGTCAAGCAGCGCGCCAGCCTGACGAAGCCCGTCGTGCAAAAAGGCGCTTCTGGATCCGTCCTGTTGTGGTCCGATTCGGCGATAGGCACCCGTTCCCATTGGCCGCCGTGAGCATGTCTCACACTCTGCGTGTTCCAGGGGAGGGATTTGCGACTCCGGTATTCAAACTCGATGCGTCAGACCCTGACGTTTCGCAACCCACGGCCGCGGAGGAACCCTCTGCGCTCGGTCTAACAGGCCGCGGGGGCTCTGCCTAATCACCAATGCTAATCTTGCGCGACGCACTGCGGCGTTGCGGCCTGTCTGCTGGCGGCATATAATATTATTGCCCTCCCAACGGAGCTCCGGTACTCGCTCGCTCGCTTCGTATGCTCCTGGACCGTCTTGGGTGGTAGGGGGTGAGGAACCACAGGGAATGTGATTTGTCTGGTCCATCGTTGTCTTGCCCATGGCCATGCCCCAAACGTCCCTCGACTTTGAGTTGAGAGCCGCCCTGCACGTGCAGCATCTGTCTCTCGCTCCGGACTGCATTGGAGGAAATTCCGTTTCTTCAGCATAGAAGAGACCCCCATGCTGCCGGGCCGTTCCAGCAAAGCTTCGAGAACGTCCAAACCCTGGAGGAGGCCTGCAGTGCAGAGAGATACTGGGACGTCGCGTTGTCGCGTTGTCGCTATTCATCCATGAGCGCGCGCTCGGCACTCCGCCTTCAGTCGGAGAGAACGCCGTGAAAGACGCAGCCTTACCACCACCACTACCAACCACCAAAACGATTGCGATTATAATTAGGCATTGGATGGGAAAAAGACAGCGGCCGATGCGCATGCGCTTCGCGTTTCCTATCCCTGGACAGCGGATAGCGGGCCTTGCTCGATATACGCGACAAATCACGATGCGCTTCCAATGGTGTGCAGAGGAAGTCGGCCCCAACCAAACCGAAGCTGGCCGTAATGAACCCCTCCAATTCCTCCAGTTGGACTGCTTGGCCGAAGCAGCCTCAATCTATTGGGTTCGTTGAGACCCACGCCCTCAGCAGAAGGGACAGAAAATATCGCACCTCCATCTCCCAAGGTACCTCAAGGTGTGGATGGAGGCAGCGTAGCCGCAGCGCAACCGCCGACGGTGAATCCGTCCCTCGCTGCTCACAAATCGAGAAATATGGCCCTCACAAAGGGAAAACGAGGGGCAACCTCAGTGGGGGTTACCGCCGCCTTCGGGCCTTGGATCGGTCGCACGATCCGGAGTCGTCGGTTGAGAACTCCGCTAATGCTCCGCTTAGAATCCACGCGCATTACTGATTGGCATGGCCCTGACCGAGGGAAAACGCAGCGTCGTGTCGGAGGGCGACGGAGGCCATGATGTCAGTCAGCAAACACCGATAGCTGCACTACTGATTATCCGTTATGTCCGTCTGAAGATGTCCGACGGATAAAATGCAGCTGATGCAGGAACAGCATGGTTAAATGGGATGGTGATAATCCCAGCCGAACGGAACGTGAGTCTGACCAGCACGGCCGGTGCCAAATAATCAAATGGCTCAAGACGGAACTGGGATTCCTGTTTTCCGAGTTCAGACTTCTCTGGGCGTTTAATCGGCGGCATGGGCTGCATTGTGAACCTCGGGATTCGAGAAGCATTGATTTAGGTGCGCGGGATGCAATGAGCGGCAGTTGGTGTAGTCCACCCACCTGGAAGGTTGAAGAGCAGTGCCAAGCAATGGACACTTCCCTGTCCGAGCTTCTTTCACGAACAAGCCACAGACGCCACGTGACAGATCAAACTCAGCCACCAGCCACATTGGCCACACACCATCGCCGAGGCTGAGACGACATCGTCACAATTTCTCCGAATACATCACCAGCAAAACCCACCTCTGCATTTGCGACAGCCCCGACAACAGCACGCCCACCGTCGGCTATAGCAAACAGCAAAGGAGATTTGACTTCTTTGAGCAGGAACATCCCAGGCTCAGAGGTACGTTACCACAAAAAAGCTCAAGCAAAGCCACACGCGCCTTGCTTGCACAAAAAAACCGTATCATACCCGCAGTTCATTCATCATGGCCTACCCGCCCCCTCCAGGTATCTCAAGCGGCCCCTCTACCGGCAATCCACCTTCTCATCCCTCCCTGCCCGCGAGGCCCCCTCCGAGCAAGTCATCCGGAGGCTTCAAGCCCGCCTTCAAACCCGCCTACGGAGCTGCAGCCTCATCCGCGCCTACCTCCTACTCGAGCGCACCGACCTATGCCAGCGCGCCCACCCCCCATTATGGCTCATCCTATGCATCGTACTCGCAACAACCGTCGCCGTCGCCCTCGGTAGGCGGCGCTGGCCGCTATGGAGCACCGGTGCCCTCTTACGATTCATACACACAACCCGGCGCAGGCTCTCGTTACGGCCAGGCCTCGAGCTACAATGCGCCGCCTTCGACCTACGGCGCAGCGCCGCAGATTCGCAACCCGTTCCCGATTCCCGGCACCGGCGCCCCTGCCGCCGGCGCATCCGCCGCCTCGGCGTCCGACTACGACCCGGACATGGCGATGCAGATAGCACAGTGGCAGAGCGCATACAGCTCGAACGGCACTAAGGACGCCAGCGGTAAAGACTTGGTCGTCCCCAGCGGTCGTGGGGGCTTCCCTGGAACAGGCAGCAACGTCGCGACCCCTCCCATCATCGACCCCGCAGCCGCGGCCGCAGCGGCAGCAGCAGCGAACCAACCCCCCGAGCGCAAGAAGACCGTCGTCCGCGAGGGTGGCGGCAAGAAGTGGACCGACGACACCCTCGCCGAGTGGGACCCGAGTCACCTGCGCCTGTTTGTCGGTAACCTCGCGGGCGAAGTCACAGACGAATCCCTCCTCAAGGCCTTTTCGCGATGGCAGTCGGTGCAGAAGGCGCGCGTGATCCGCGACAAGCGCACCGCCAAGTCCAAGGGGTACGGTTTCGTCTCCTTCAGCGACGCCGACGACTTTTTCCAGGCCGCCAAGGAGATGAATGGCAAGTACATCCAGAGCCACCCCGTCACGGTGCGCAAGGCGAACACGGAGATCAAGATCACCAACGTCAAGGGCAAGGACCACCGCAACAACCGCAATAACAAGAACAAGAAGCACTCTGGCAACGGTGGTGGCGGAGGAAACAAGAATGCAGATGGTACCGGGTATGAACCCCACCTCGGCCCTGTGCATAGTCACGGTGTCATCAAGCCTGGACAGAAGACCAAGAACGGCCTCAAGTTGCTTGGATGATTTTTATTTGGTTTCCGAAATAGCTCATTCGGCTAGACTGGCGTTCTGGAGTTGGAGGTCACCCATACCCATCATAATCAAAGAATTACATAAAATAGAAGTACTTTCTCGGTCAGAGTTTGCAATGAATGTACCAACTGTGTGATGTGATGAACTGCATCTCCTGGCGGGGCCCTCTCCGATGTACCGTGTTATGCTACTGATTGCTACATCTCTTGACGTGGTGAAGAAGGTGGGAAGTCAGACATTACCATCAGAGAATTCCCAATAAATCCCCCAAGGGCCCCTTATCTCGATCCATCCTCCTTTTACGCGGCTGATTGTGTAACAGGTGGTAGCACAACAGAGGTACTCAAGATGAAATGACCTTCATCCAAGCTCAAATTCATCCCTCCCACACTCCATCCAACTCGGTAAGTCACTCAAAAAAAAAAAAACCCCCCAGACCGAATATCATCGCTGGAACCCGGTAACACGATCCAGATTAAAAGCCGCACTGATGAGGGCCAAGTGACTGAAAGCCTGGGGCGTGTTGCCGAGCTGCTCGCCGCTGCGGGCAATCTCTTCCGAGAACATGGAGAGGTGGTTGGAGAAGCTCAGCATGTTCTCAAAGAGGTTGACGGCGCGGACGAGGTACTTTGGCTCGTAGACGGAGGCGCGCGTCATCGCCTCGACGAGCCAAAAGGTGCACATGCTAAAGGCGCCTTCTCTTCCGCCGACGCCTGGGGGGTAAGCGATATAGGTTAGGTATCGCATCGCACGAGAGATGGGGGAATCTTGGGGGGCGTACCGTCGTCTGATAGCTCGGTATCGTAACGGGAGACGAGGCCTGTGCTGGTGAGGCCGCCCTTTTCGGGGGGCATGAGGATGCGGTCCATTGTGTTTAGGAAGCGCGGGTCGTTGGGGGCGATGAAGAAGACGAGCGGGGCGATGAGGATGGAGGAGTCGAGCATGGTGTTGTTCTCGTAGCTCTGGACGAAGCACTTCATCTCCTTGTTGTAGCCTGTTATACCGCCGGTGGGGCGGTTGTCAGTTTGTCGTCTCTGCTCTCAGTCGGCTCTTCCGCGTCATGTTTGGCATGTGTGCATGTGTATGCGCCAAGGAATAATGGAGGGATAGAGAGTTGCGAAAGGTTGGGTAGATTAGCGCCAAAGGATAAGGGAAACGTACCCTTTTCCATTATCTCCTCCATCAGGTTATCGCGGGCTTCGAGCCATTTGCTACGATTGGGACAGGGGAAGTTGCGTTTGTCTGCAAGCCGGAGGCCGCGGTCGAAGGCGACCCAGAGCATGACTTTTGAGTAGGTGAAGTTTTGCTTCTTATTGCGTACCTCCCAGATGGACATGTCGGGTTCTAGTCAACATCAATACTCATGCCCTTCATCAATAGGCAAGAAGTTGACAACTTACGATCTGTCAAAGTAAGGACAAAGTCTATGCAGCAAGTCAGCTCCAGTGTTCAGCAGAGGAAAGAAAAACATCATCAACGTCCAAAGAGACAACACATACCCAGCATCTCCCTCACAGAACACCACTGATCCCAGCTGATGGGCTTCCCGTACTTGTTATACAGATAGATACCATCCATGAGCTCGCCGTAGATGTCAAACTGCTGATGGAACGCCGCGCCGTTGCCGATCCGCACGGGCTTGCTGCTGCGGTAGCCCTCGAGGTGGTCGAGCTCCATCTCGGGGATCTCGGTCTCGCCGCGGATGGTGAACATGATGGGCAGCTCGCCGCTGGGGCCGCGCGACTTGACGAAGCGCTCGCTGATGAAGTCCATGTAGGCGTCTGCCTCGGCGGAGAAGCCGAGGCGGAGGAGGATGTAGATTGTGAAGCTCGAGTCGCGGACCCAGCAGAAGCGGTAGTCCCAGTTCCTGTCGTGAACCAGTGAGCTTTCTCTAGTGGAGCTGAAGGGGAAGAAGGGGAAGAAGAGGGAAGAAACAAGCACAACGGGATTATGTGAAATGCCTTACCGAACACCACCGATATCCTCGGGGATAGAAAACGTCGGCGCGGCCACGATGGCGCCGGTGGGCTCGTACGTCAGCATCTTGAGCAGCATCAGGCTCCGGTTGACGACCTCGCGCCACCGGCCCTTGTACTTGCTCTTGGAGATCCAGTTGTACCAAAACGACTGCGTGTCGTGCTGCTGCCCGTCGAGCACCGCCGTCGTGACGTTCTCCGTGACGTGGTCCGGCTTGTCGTTCCGCAGGACGAACGAGACGGCCTGGCCCTCTGTGATTTCCAGGTGCGCGACGACGCCCTCGCCCAGCATACCGTCGCGCTTCTCCTTTCTGAAAGTGATGGAGGGCGCCGGTGCCGCCGCCGCCGGTGCCGATGCGTCCGCCTCGGACTCGGGGACGACGTCGTCGATGGTGACGTCGAGCTGCATCTTGTAGTGCTCGCTGTGGAAGGTGACTGCTTTGCTTGGGCTGTTTGCCGTGTGAGTCGGCTCGATGATGGTGGTGACGTGGGACTCGCTGGCGTATTGGAAGGCCGGGAAAATCTCAATATCTGGGAATGTCAGCTTAGCATGAACTGAACCTTTGTGAGTATCGAACAGTGGCTACCCACCGAGC